GAGAAAATAAGGCAAGATTTGCTTAATATTTTAAGTTTGGATGTTAGTTTAAAAAAAAAACCAGTTCTTAGTTATAGTATTACATTGGTTATATTTTCAACTAGCTGTTCCCGTGCGACTTCAGCCGCATGGAATTACGAAAATTTTATTGTATTGTTTACATCTGTCAAATTATCATTTACAAATGTCACAATAACATGACATGATGACAACCTTGCTTCCTTGATGTTAGCTGCAACTTATGGTGTCTTTCCCACATTAGGGTTTTTATCCAAAATATTCACCCCTAAGTTTAATGGCGTTAAAATATATAGCCTAAAGCGTAACGCAAGTTTAGGGCTTTTTATTATATAAAGAATTATTCAAAAATATCCTGTTATTGCTGACATCTTATGCAACAGAGAAGTGTGAGTTTACGCTTTATTATAATAGTATAGATACTGTTGTGGCCATGAATATTGCAATTAAAATCGGGATTATGCGCATTTATTGATTGTAATAAAACACGTAACATGCATAATTAATAACGGATACGTTCAACTCTTGTATTTAACGGCTTAAGTTATACAAACACGATAGTTAGGGCATGTCCCACCAAATTGTAAATTGTCTGATGACAATCCAACGTGTAAAATATGTGATGAATTTGTAACCTTATCTAATGACCCAGTGACGTCATTTTTCAGCTATCTGAGCCTCTATCAGACAGTGATGGGACAGGCTTGAATACTTTAAAACATGCTGTCTGTTTTTCCGTGGAGTCCCTTCAATATGTTTTGAACAAGTGTCTTGACAGTGCAAACACACAGATGTAAACACTGTAATCAACTGCAATCTACCGCAGTTTTACTACTTAACACTTCGTATAATTACAAATAATAACTGTTAAATTCAATCAACTATGCCCTAAATACTTTAAAGCTAATAAATCAATTTTGCTTATTTAATGTTTATATAGACTGAATATATATAATAATACGGAAATTTAAAACTAAAATTACAACACTCAAAAAAACAAGGTTGTATAAAAACATGACACGAATTTTTAATTAACAATTAATTTTAAATACATTGATTATAATATAAAATCAAAAACAGAATCAAAAAACGAATATACTTTACATATTATAAATGTAAAAAATGTAATAAATTGAACAAAAATGATCTTATTTTTATCTTATCTTATTTATATTACAAATGTGAAAGTTTAGATGGATGGTTGGTTGTTTGTTAGAGTGTGTAGCCTAAACGGCTGAACGAATCTTGATGAATTTGGCATGAATGTAGAGGATAATCTGAAAGAACACTTAGGTTACTTGCTTTGTTTAGATTACTTGCTTTTATTTTTTAATTCCGCGCGGACGGAGTCCCGGACGAAAACTAAGCGAATTCTATGTTGTTTTCTGGGCTTAAAGAGCTGACTCGTTTTAGACGAAGAGGTCATTCTTTATATGAGCTCCAGAATCTTATAGTTAACCTTGTTATTAACATTCTAGGAACATAATTAGTACATAAGACTATTATTTATTTTCGTAGAGAACTTCAATAAACTTTTTATATTCCAGAGTTAAGTTCGGTCTCTTCCACGTGGACTTCAATAGCACAGAAAAAACAAGAGTTCCAAAATTATCAGCTTTCAATTACGCAGAAATTGTTAGAAGAAGAAGAATCAACTTTAAATATATCGAACAGATACCAAAATCACATATAAACATATTATGATATTTCAATTAGTTAATTGTTAAATCCTTGAAGCGTTAACTACGAGTATTTAATGTGATATGCACTGATTTCTGTGTAAATAATGTTAAGACTAGTTATATTAATAACACCTTGTTGATTATTATAAGTTGTTGTAAAATAATAAAACAAATGATTGTTATAAACTTTTTAATTGGACAACACTACCACGAGCCACGACCAAAATGTTACAGACAAAAAAAATATACAGACGAATTAAGTACCTCCTTCTTTTGGGAAGTCGGTCCAGAAGTAAATAAAAGGTTGAGCTAAGCTGAAAGACCTTTTATATTTCCTGTAATTTACAGTTTTACCGAAATTAGAGTCACTTAAACAGCGCTTTGGGACTTTAAGACCATTAAACTAATAAGTATGAGTGTGGCAGTTAAGAAATAAAAAAAATCTTAAGGCTTGTTTTGATGGCTAACGTAGTCAACCGTTATACAAGTCGATATACTTGATTGATTAGCGCCTTTTGCGTTAACACCATTTTATCGATTAAATATAATAACAAAGCGCTTTAGAATAACGCGTAAATGTATAGTTGTGTAAACAAAACGTACAGTCGTGACCGGTTGACCTCGGAAACAAGCCAGCAACAGGAACTTTGAAATATTTTAGCAATGTTACGTGGTTAAACCAGACCTGAATTGAACTATATAAATACATCTAACCGTTTAATTCCACTGTTACAGAAGTATTTAAATACAGTATCTGTGTAAAGAAATTTAGATCTACATAGTCGAGATCCCGATATCAGAATTGGAGTGTGGTATCTCAATCAATTTGAAAAAACAAAGCAATACAAAAAAAAACTTGAATAAAGCCAGGAGTTAAACTTTTGTCATGCGAATTCATTACAATTAATTGAATCCATTAACAATCCTTTGTTAAAATAATTAGTAAAATCCGAATTTGAAATTATAATTACTGTTTTGTATCGAGATCCGGTACTGAGCGTGTTCAATAAACATATGATAATATTTATACTGCAATCTTTATACCCCAATCTTAATGGGTGAGTAACTTAAAATATTTCGTTGGTCGTTTGTTTTTTCAAACATTGAGTAAAGTAACATAAAAATGTGAGTATTTTTCGCGGATCTACTGCAAACTAATTTGTTTTCGAAGACTCGACGCTGAAAGATGGGCGCTGTACATTGCTTGCATTTGTAAATTTGTCTGTGTTGGAATCTATCTGTTTGTCTGCTATCCATCGCTGCGGTAAGAGTACAATTCCTTTATATTTAGGTTTATTGGAACAGTTTCTTGCCGTATTAAATTTCTTTGAAAATAATACAAATTTAAAACTAAATGCAGATTTAGTAAGAGTATTAAATATCTGGTCTTTGTTGACAATTCGAGTTGGTTATAATTTTGACGCTCATTTTTTTTGGAGTGTTGCCGCGACTTCGTCCGTCGTCGTCGAAATGGTGAAAGAATTTTAAAAATCAACCCTGTAGTTTTTGAGTTATTTCAATACATATTGAAATCCAAAAATCTTTTTTTTAATAATAATAGTATAGATGTCTCAAGATTTAAAAGTATTTGCTATCGATTTAATGGGAATTTACTAGAGACTTAATTTAATTTATCGATGTGTATAAATTATTGGATGAAGAGAACATACACAGCATCGTAAAATAGAACATCAAGGAAACTATTATTTTCTTTGCGTCAGGTCACAGACAACACGTGTTGGCTAATTATTATTGAGGAAGACATATCAAAAACTATGATGCAATAAATGTTACTGAACATATTGTTGGAACTAATCTAAAATTAAAAATGTACAATCGCTTACTCGCTCTTTATGAAGGTCGTTTGAAAATCAAAATGGAAAAAAGAGAACTTTAGTTGAATAAATACTTTGCATGCAGATTTGTGCACAACGTGTTTCATTGGTTCAGAAAATTGGATTTTTTCACTTCTAGAGTCGAACTACAATTATACGCAAAAACTTAGGAAATTATTGCGAATCGATTTTTCATAGTTGCGTACATAAAAACAGTTATGTAAAATTGGTTTATAAATATTTTTAACATGCTAATAACTTTAATTTATAATTTTGTTAATTATTTTATCAAACCGTTATTAAATTGTTTTATAGAGCAATTAAAATCAGTTTATTTTTTTTCTCTCTTAATTGTGAGTCTAAGGCTAAATATTATTGCAAGTAATATAAATAAATTAAGCGAATTATATAAATCGTTTAAGTTTTTTAAATGTTTATATTAAAAGTTTAACGTAGTGTGTTATTCAAAAGAATAATAAAAACGAAATAAGAATTTAAATGCAGAACATTCTGTTTAGCAGACGCGATTTTCAAGTTTCCGAGTTATCAAAATGCAAATTAGTATAAATCACAATTGAAAACATTATCAAAATATAGTGTAGTTTAAAAATCTAAATAAATTCTACACTTTAAATATTTCGACGTTTATATTATTTTACTTCTTATTTCAATGGATTATTAACATTTTCATTTACATCATAAAATATTTGATTATTATGAAAAATCAAATTGTTTATATAGATATTAAATTTTCAAAAAAAAAAAAACAAATTTTAATTTTCTTGTAACATTTCCGCATACCATATAATATTTTTTATAAGCAAAAAAGTATTATCCAATTTTTGGTCGTGACCATCATCTAATAATTAATAATGAATTTGTAATTATAAAAGCTAATACGCAGTTATGCCAGAATCGTCTTTCCGGTTTTATTTTAATAACGACCTTAAAATTTGTATTACGTGATGACATCAACGTTACTTCATAGTGCAAGAAATGTCAAACTTTCATGGCCGTAGTTATTAAAAATATTGCGATAAATAGCACTGTTAAGAAATCGTGTAAATGCTTTAATACTTTTTATCAGATAAAAAGAGTGAATCAGTTTTATTTATCTAAATAAATTATGTACTCACATAAACAACGGTTACATAAACGTAACTTCTTAAAATGTTAAGTTGACGTATTGAATATTTGCTGCTTAGAATTTGAAAGGAGCAATGTTTAAACTACACTTTTTTCTTTTTCATAAATAAAATGAAGTATCTAATACAGAGTCGTATGGATTTGTAAGGATATTAAGTTAATAATAAAATTAGATTATAATTCACAGATCAGGTTAAAACGAGCACTACGAAGTCAATCTTACTTTTTTACAGTTTAAGTTTGGATGGATGCATAGATGTTTGTAGTCTAAACGGCTAAATGGATTTGTAAATGCTATATGAAATAAAACGTCAAAGAATAAGTTTAAAAATGTAATAACAATTCACCAATTCAATTAAACCATAGCACTTTAAGGATACTTGTCCTTTAAAAAACCCTTTATTCTATTTCGTTAGTATTGATAACAAATCTTAATGATATTAAGACAAAACATTGATTTAAACCTTCTTTGGTAATGCAATTGTAACAGTCTTCACTTCCATGTATGATTCCAAGCAATCTGATCCACTGAAAATAAAAAAAGTTTTCATTAATTTGAGTATGTTATAACTGACTACGTAGTAGACACTTGGTGGTTATTGCGACCAGAACGATCAAGGCTGAACGCCATTATATAAACTGTCATCTAACTATAAAATATAGGCTTAGGTAACCAGTTGTAACATTATACATATTTAAAGAACTTACTTCTCCCTGTGCATGCCTGAATTCTTAAAGCCTCCGAATGGTGCCTGAGGACCCATGGTTAAATAGTTGTTAACCCTGAAATAAAAGCAATTAATAAATACGAGGTCAATGTACTAACATAGATTACAATCAAAATCAAAATAATTACCAAACAGTTCCAGCCTCAGAGTGTTTGCTGAATTGTAATGCGGCATTCAAATTGGTAGTGAATATGCCGGCAGCTAGACCATATTCTGTGTCATTAGCACGATCAATAACTTCTTCTAATGTATCAAACTTCAAAATACTCTGCACTGGTCCAAATATCTGCAAATTTTATTTTATTGGTATTAAAACATTGAACATTTATTTTATATTTATAGCAAAGCTTCTAATTTAACTATCGTTTTTAATTAATTTCGGTTTCTTGTGGGGTATCTTTTAGGTTTATGAACTTCTAATGCTATAACTCTACTTACCTCTTCTCGGGCAATGACCATGTCATCCGTAACATCAGCAAACACAGTAGGCTCGATGTAGAAACCTTGGGTACCAACGCGCTTTCCACCCGCAAGAAGCTTTGCTCCTTGCTGCTTGCCCTTCTCGATGTATCCTAAAATTTTCGTTAGCATCAATTGGTCGATCTGAAAACAAAAATGTCAATTTTTTAAATGATTTCAGCAATTTAAAATCCGTGTCACGAAAGGAAAAATAACAAGCATTATTTTTCTTTCCTTCGTCATGGCTAATGATAATAGTGATTTAGAATTTTCATTATCGGCTTTGCAAAAAGCGATTTGAAAACAGTTATAGTGCAACGTAGAAGCAATTACTGACCGAATCCCTCAAGAAACTGTAGACTAAAGGTTGCTAATTATTTGTTAATTTCTTTCTTTACCTGGGGTCCGTGCTGCGTTCTAAGATCTGTCGGTGCACCGATTTTGATGTTCTTCGCATATTCCGCGGCTCTTTTAACGAATTCGTCATAGATTCCAGACTGGACGAACAATCGTGAAGCAGCTACACACACTTGTCCTTGATGACAGAACACAGCATTCGCGGCATACGGAACAGCCAGATTTACTGAAATTAACGAAACAATTATAGTAAAGAATAAAAAAGACACTATTAAGGTTCTTATTATATCTGCTGTTATATCTATGCCAGATACGATCTTAACACGGTATGCCGTTAGCTTATCTACTACAGGGTCTCCCTTAATAATTGTGGTGTAGTTAGTTTTGAATTATATTTTATTTTACTTACAGTCAGCGTCATTCATTATAACCAGAGGACTCTTGCCTCCGAGCTCCAATGTTACTCTCTTAAGGTTGTTAGCCCCGGCTGCCTGTTGAATGAGCTTGCCCACCTAAAACCATTTTGAATTAATGAACATTTTCAGATGACACTAACTAGGAATTAAAACCAGAGTACTGAGGAATATTCTTGGTCACTGAGTGAATCCCTTAGTAGATTTTCTCACAATGAATCTAAACTAAAGGAAACCCTTTATAACTCTGAATTTATGCCTTACACCAAACAACAGTGAGGAAGAGTAACATTTAGCTTACATTCAGTCTAAAACGTAATACTAGGATTGTCTAGAATTAGTTGTACAATAACATTTGAAATTCAGTAATTTGTTTTGTTATAAGTATAATTCAAGAAAATAAAGGTAAAATCATGTTTATCGCGAATATTCATATGAATTACAATCATGCTAATTAAATTTAAACAAGTTTCCAAAGTTTTAATTAAACAATACAACAACGTATATATTAATACTGGTATTAATATATACGTTGTTGTTTAATTATTAAGTAGTGTAGAATCTACCTGTCACTTAGATAAAGATAAAGATTCTCTGAAAACACTAACGTTTAAAGGGAGATCTTCGAGAAAATAGTTTGGTAGAGTTTCTCTAGACTCTGGGATGTAGTGTTTTTTGACAGTCTTTTGAACACTTATATTTTAAATGCGAAAGTCTAGATGGTTTGGTTAGAGGGAGATGAAATTGAAGAAATACGTATAACAGTCTGAATAGTATATAAACTAGTAATTAAGTTTTTTTTTAATTTCACGTGGACGAAGAAGAGAGCAACAGCAGAAATAAAAATGAAGCCAAAGACAAGCTTAGGATACATACTTCCAGTGATCCAGTAAATGAAATTTTAGCAACATCAAGGTGATGTGTGAGAGCAACACCCGCGGTCTCGCCGAAGCCGTTAACCACGTTGACAACACCAGGTGGTATGCCTGCCTCCGCTAGCAAGGAGGCCAATACTAATGCAGTCAGCGGGGTTTGCTCTGCGGGCTTCACGACCACCGTGCAACCTGGTCATAATTTAGTATTAATATTTGGTTAACTTAAACAATCGTACCCTTCCCTGGAATAATTTGGGAAAGCGTACTTTTAGGTTTATCAAATCATAAATACCTGCAGCTAATGCTGTTACGACTTTCCAGATAAACATCAGGACGGGGCCGTTCCATGGTAAAATGAGTCCACACACTCCTACTGGCTGTTTGAGTGTGTAGGAAAATACTTCACCATCTGCAAATACCATAAATAAATTTAGTTAGCATTACCTTTAACGTACAAGCTTAACTAATTTGATTCGTATCATATATTGTAACTTACTTAAAGGAATGGTGCTTCCTTGCACTTTATCAGCTAAACTGGCCAGATAACGGATATATGAACCACTTTGACCTATGAATAGCTTGCAGTTTCCAAGTAACATGCCATTGTTGTGAGTCTCCAGTTGAGAAATATAATCGGCATCTCTTTCTACTAGTTCTGCGAACTTGAACAACAACTGTCCTCTCTGGGATGCATCTAGAAGTCTCCATTCCGAGTTACGTTGAAAAGCGCGACGCGCTGCTGCTACTGCCAAGTCTATATCCGCCTAGGAACACGCAGAAAGAACTACATGAGTAGTCTCGTCATAATTTAGTTTAGTTACATACCTAGTGTCCAGTAACATAACAAGAAAAAATATATTACTGGCTACTCTCTTTTTTCACATTCCCTTAAAAAAACAAAGATTAAAATTAAACTGTACTCACCTTATCTCCCTCAGCAACTTTTGCAATAACAGAGCCATCGTGTGGGTTGTAGGTGTCAAAAGTCTTTCCACTCACAGAATCAACCCATTTGTTATCAATGAAGAGCTAGGTAAACAGACGAGACGTTTATTTTACAAAAATAAATTTATCGTTTTATCGAAATGAAAAAAAAAAAACAAAACACTTTTTACGTTAGTGGAATTATGAATAAAAATATTCGTCATTTAAAATAAAATATTTTACTAATTATTTAATACCTTCGTATATTTAATTTCAGGTGCCATGATACGTCCGTTCGTTAGAGCTTCGCTTTAGTAAACTAAAATAAAAACTCGTTATCAAATTCTTTGAACATCTTTTATACACGTAAAACGCAACAGAAACATGACTGGCAAAAATGATTTCGAGATGTCATGGGACGTTGGTGTCTACAAGTACACTGTTTACAACATTTCATTTGTATTATGAAATAACAAAATAATCTTTTTAAAACCGAAACTGGCGATCATGCTAAGACAAGCAGAGTTAATAAAGACCTGTGTATCTTTATACTGATTCATTCTGTTCTGTAAGCATGTACCAATTCTGTTTTGTCAAAATCTTCTTTGTCGTCAAATAAACAATCAAATCTGAATTTGATTTCTAATTACTATGTAGTATTTGTCTTGTCTTATTTCAATGCCTCAATTGATATCAGCTACCTGTCATTTGTCAAGCATACTGGATTTCGTCTACCTAGTTAGCTATTTGCTATTGAACATTTTAATTTTGTTCTCCATACTTTCAATTATCTTCAACCTTGATGTTGGCAAAATCATCATAACGATGGGGCCCATTATTCATTAAACAAGAGAGAGAAAGAGAGAATTTGATTTCATATCATTTAATTAACCTAGTAACAGTATTCCCATGCTAATGCCTTGCAAATCAAAACTCATCGTCGAATGCCATCTCATGATGGATGGATGAATGCTCATGCATTCGAATAGACTAGTTATTGCCATGCATCAGACAGACGGATATAAAACGTAAATACCAATACGAACAGAGGTCTCCGTAAATGTGAAATGTGGATGAAGTGAGATTACCCGGAACAAACGCGGCTTGATAGACAGACAGACACCAGCAACGCAAAAACATCATCTTCCCAAAATCTGGATTTTTTCTTTTTAAAGTAAAAATAGATACTCCAATTTTATTATATGTATAGATAAATACATGGACTTACGTAATGCGATCTTGATATAAAAATAAAAATACACATACCTTTAGAAGTCTGGTGGAACATAACAACGTTGATATCCATAATATCAAACTTCGGCGATCAGAGTTAAACGACGCGTTTATCTACACAGTGTCTAATTATGTGTTTTGGGTTATACAGTTTATCTAATAATAATAACTCATTTATCTTTTGTTTCCATTACCAATAGTCACATTCCACGAAAATCTGCAAGTCATCGCCCACTGGTAGCCTGACATGAGATGCGCGTGGGCATTTAACAATTCACTGAATGTCTCTCAAGTTATAAATAGAGACAAAATTCGTTATACTTATCTTAGAATTTATTAGACAATAGAAGTAGGAGGCGAAAGTGTTAAACATTACGTTACTTTTTTTAGAGAGTCGATTGATTTTTTTTTTATTAAATAAAAAGATTAACCGTTTCTATTCCATTACAAAGATTATGAACACTTTAGCTTTGCCCGTTCTCGAAGAACTTAAAAGACCTTCAATTCTTCAATTTTATATGTCTAATTGTATGTTAATTTTAATGGTTTATAAGTTGATGTTTATCTTTACAATATCAACCCTAATCTTACCAATATTATAAATGGAAAAGTTTAGATGGATGGATGGGTATTTGTTAGAGTTTGTAGCCTTAACGACTGAATGGATCTCGATGAAATTTTGCAGAGATATAGACGATAATCTGAAAGAACACATAGGTTACTTACAAATGTTTTTTTTTAAATCGCGGGCGAAAGCCTCACAATTTGTAAATATTATATGAAATAAAACGTCAAAGAATAAGTTTGAATAATGTAATAAGAAACTATCAATTCAATTAACCCATAGCCCCGTAAGCATATTTGTCTTATAAAAGAACCGTTATTCTATTTAATAATGATAACAAATTCATCTTCATGATATTACGAAAAAAACATTAATTTAAACTCTCTTTGGTAATGCAATTGTAACAGTCTTCACTTCCATGTAAGGTTCCAAGCAATCTGATCCACTGAAAAAATAACGTTTGCATAATTTTGAGTACACTATAACATCCTATGCGTAGTACATAGTAGACACTTATTTACTTAATCGATTACTGCAATTAGAAGCATAGATCAAGGCTGAACGCCATCATATAAACTGCCATGTAACAATACAATATATGCTAATGGAACCGGTAACGACATTTTGCATATTTAAAAAACTTACTGCTCTCTGTGTATGCCTGAATTCTTAAAGCCTCCGAATGGTGCCTGAGGTCCCATGGTTAAATAGTTGTTAACCCTGAAATAAGAGCAATTAATTGATACGAGGTCAATGTACTAACATAGATTACAATCAAAATCAAAGTAATTACCAAACGGTTCCAGCCTCAGAGTGTTTGCTGAATTGTAATGCGGTATTCAAATTGGAAGTGAATATGCCGGCAGCTAGACCATATTCTGTGTCATTAGCACGATCAATAACTTCTTCTAATGTATCAAACTTCAAAATACTCTGTACTGGTCCAAATATCTGCAAATTAAATTTTATTGGTATTAAAACATTGAACATTTGTTTAACATTTATAGCAAAGCTTCTAATTTTTCTATCACTTTTAATTATATTTAGTTTGTTTTGAGGTGACTTTTGGCTTCTAAACTTCTATTGCTATAACTCTACTTACCTCTTCTCGGGCAATGACCATGTCATCTGTAACATCAGCAAACACAGTGGGCTCGATGTAGAAACCTTGGGTGCCAAAGCGCTTTCCACCCGCAAGAAGCTTTGCTCCTTGCTGCTTGCCCTTCTCTATATAACCTAAAATTTTCGTTAGCATCAATTGGTCTATCTGAAAATTAATTAGACAATTTTTTTAAATGATTTCTGCAATTTAAAATCCATGTCACGAAGGAAGAGATAAGAAGCAATAATTTACGCTCTTTCGTCATCGCTAATGATAAAAGTGATTTAGAATTTACATTTACGGCTTTGCAAAAAGCGATTTGAAAACAATTATAGTGCAACGTGGAAGCAATTACTAGCCGAAGCCCTCAAAGAACTATAGACTAAAAGAAGATGTTAATTATTTGATAATTTCTTTCTCATTACCTGTGGTCCGTGCTGTGTTGTAAGATCTGTCGGTGCACCGATCTTAATACCCTTCGCATATTCTGCGGCTCTTTTAACAAACTCGTCATAGATTCCAGACTGGACGAACAATCGTGAAGCAGCTATACACACTTGTCCTTGATAACAGAACACAGAATTCGCGGCATACGGAACAGCCATATTTACTGAAATGAGCAAAACAATTATAGTAAAGAATTAAACAGACACAGTTAAGATTATTATTGCCATATCTTAACACGGTATCCCGTTAGCTTATCTACAACAGGGTCTCCCTTAATAATTGTGGTAAAGTTAGTTTTGATTTACATTTACATTTTACTTACAGTCAGCGTCATTCATTATAACCAGAGGACTCTTGCCTCCGAGCTCCAATGTTACTCTCTTAAGGTTATTCGTCCCAGCTGCCCGTTGAAAGAGCTTGCCCACCTAAAAGCATTTTTAAATTAATGAACAGTTTCAGGTGACACCTGGGAACACCAACTAGGAAATTAATTTATAAGTTAATTACTGAGACATGTGCTCACCATTAATCTACCCTAAAGGATATCCTTAAGAACTCTGAGTTGTTACCCTACACCAAACTTTATTAACATTTAGCTTATATTCAATAAGTTGTTAAAGTAAGCATAAAATAAGAATTGTAATTCACTAATTTGTTTGGTTCTAAGTATAATTGGAGAAAATAAAGCTAAAACTATGTTTATCGCGATTATTCAAACGAATTTCAATAATGTCACTGAGATAAATAGTTGAGTTGAGAGAAATTGTAGAAGAAATGGTACAGAGGTTCTCTGAAAGCACTAACGTATCTCGATACGAGAACTACGATAAAATAATCTGGTAGAGTGACTCTAGGCTCTAGGATGAAGTGTTTTGTGACCGTTTTCTAAACATCAATATCATAAGTGCAAAAGTCTAGATGGATATATGGTTGAAAGGTTAATGAAATTCGAAAAAGATGTATAGGTAACAGTCTGAATAGTACATAAGCCTTTAAGTAAGATTTTTAATTCCACATGGACGGACAACAGAGTGACAACTAAAATAAAAATGAAACTAAAGACAAGCTTAGGAAGCATACTTCAAGTGATCCAGTAAATGAAATTTTGGCAACATCAAGGTGATGTGTGAGAGCAACGCCCGCGGTGTCACCGAAGCCGTTGACCACGTTGACAACACCTGGTGGTATGCCCGCCTCCGCGAGCAAGGAGGCCAATACCAATGCAGTCAGCGGGGTTTGCTCGGCGGGCTTCACGACCACCGTGCAACCTGGTCATAATTTAGCATTAATATTTGGTTAACTTAAACAATCGTACCCTTTCCCAGAACAGTGGTAACAAACAGTGGAAACAGTGGTAGTGCCCGCTTTAACATCTTAGCACGAATGGGCTGGCACGCCCGGTGTAATACCACGACCACACAGAAGACAGGCGTAGATGGAAGCAATTCCGTGTTTCGTTTGATGAGTGTGGTACCGAAGGCCTAATTTAAGACCCTTTCTCTTTACCACCCTTTTCTTATAAGGAGAGGTTGGGAAGGGGAAGTGGATTTGACGGTGGATGAGATGCATAGGAAAGGGAAATGTCCTCATTATGTGCGTCTCCTGCTCCGTCGTATAATGGTAGGCAACGCATCTGCAATTGCGCATGTCTATGGGCAGCGGTCACTTCGCCATTTTGGCGGTTTCAAGTGGCCGCTTGCTCGTACTTCTAGGTTTATAAAATCACAAATACCTGCAGCTAATGCTGATACGACTTTCCAGATAAACATCAGGACGGGGCCGTTCCATGGTAAAATGAGTCCACACACTCCCACTGGCTGTTTGAGTGTGTAGGAAAATACTTCACCATCTGCAAATACGATTAATAAATTTAGTTGGCATTACCTTTACCGTACTAGCATAACCAATTTGATCCGTAGCATATTTGACTTACCTAAAGGAATAGTACTTCCTTGTACTTTATCAGCTAAACTGGCCAGATAGCGTACATATGAAGCACTTTGACCTATGATAAGCCTGCAGTTTCCAAGTAACATGCCATTATTGTGAGTCTCCAGTTGAGAAATATATTCGGCATCTCTTTCTACCAGTTCTGCGAACTT